CCTCCCGCGGCTCCAGCGCCCGCCCAGTGCCCCCTCCGCCCCGACCACTTTATTTCGGCACCGCACCCCCCCCCCGCTCCGCCCCCTCCCCCGCGCCGTCTCAGCGCCCCCCCGCGGCTCCAGCGCCCGCCCAGTGCCCCCTCCGCCCCGACCACTTTATTTCGGCACCGCACCCCTCCCCCCCGCTCCGCCCCCTCCCCCGCGCCGTCTCAGCGTTCCCGCGGCTCCAGCGCCCGCCCTCCCTACCCGCCCCCTCTCTCTTCCCGCGACGCCGCCGATGCCGTCGCCGCCGTCGCCACCGACGCCGCCGCCGTCGTCGCCGTCGTCGTCGCCGCCGCCGCCCCGGGCCGAAAGTCTGGTCTGTGGGGGAGGCCCCCATTCAAGTGGCGCATAGCCGGTCCCCGAGAATACACCCGACAGACTCTGCGTGCAAAGCGACTGCCTTGGACAAGCGTTCGCAACACAAGGCCGCCGCGCACTTTGCACCGCGAGCCCCCAGCAGCTGAGTCCGCTCAGTAATTTCTTCCAGCCCTCCTTGGACCCTGGAGGCCTCCCCTTGGGACCCTCTGTAGGCTTCTCGGGTGTCAGTTGGAGGCTTCCTGGGAACCCGTCAAAGGTCTTTGAAGCCATCTTGCGGGGGGCGGCCCTTGGAGTCTCCTCGCGCTCGCCCTCTGGAGCCCCTCTTGCGGCCCTGTTTTGTTCACTCCTTCTGCGATGTCTGGCATCCTCTCCCCCCCCCTCCTCCTCCATCCTCCTCCTCCCCCTTCCTTTTTGTGCAGGAGCCATGGCGCACGTGCCACTTGTTTGGAATTATGGTCTGGGGAGCGCGAACACAGCGTAATTTGCGAGGGTTGATGGCCTCGGGGATGCGAATATTGTGGTATTGACGACGGATTATGGCATCGGGGTTGCGAATACGGTGTAATTTGCGAGAGGTGATGGCTTCGGGGGCGCGAGTCTCATGTATTTCTACGTGTCCCAGGACCCCGCAGAAATTCTGAGAAACCCCCAAGGTGGTTGTAACCAGGGCCCTTTTCGGCTCCCCCCCTCGCGCGGACTTCAACAATACACAGTAGGAAGCAGAAAGCAGGACTATAATATTGAAGACTGGAAACTGGAACTGCTGCATGCAGGGAGCAGCAAGCGGGCCTGGTGGCCCCACAAGGGGGCCAGCGGATTTTGCCTCTTGGGGCTCTCTCGGGAGTGCTCTTGGAGGCTTCTTGGGGCGTCTTGGAGGTCTCTTGGGCAGTCTGGAGGGTGTTACGGCGCCTTTGACCGATCGTTCGGCGTTCGGCGACTCGGGGGCCTCTTGGGGCACTCGGGCCTGTCTTGGTGCTTTCTGAAGCCCCGGGACCCCCAGGGGGGAACGCGTATCTGACCCCCCCCCTGGGACGCCCTCCCCCCCTCCGGGGGACCACCCCCCGGACGGTGAGTGGATCAAAGGGAAGGGGCTCCCCCTCGACCAGATTACGACATTGCTAGGTTTTTCTTTCGCTGACAGGCTTGAGGAGGAGGGCGCAGGGAAAGGGGACGACGGAGACGACGACTGACAGAGACGACGACTCGAACAGACAAGCCCCACACACACGCCGACAGTGTCGGCGGATTCTGGCACGATTGAGGATTCTCAGACGGTTGTCTTTCATCGTGGCAGCTCCCGCAATGGAAATAATTTCCTTTAGGGACCTGCGAATGAAGAGGGAATTTGGATGTGGAGGTTTATTGCAACATCGTTGATGCGTCTTGGGTTTACCCTGGTCCTCCTCCTCCTCCTCCTCTTTCTTTTCTTCCTCCTTCTCCTACTTCTCCTCATCTTTCTCTCGACTCTCCTTGCCTTCTCTCTGTGTGTCCATGTCGCAGCACCCTCACGCGTGTCGTGCCCCCCCCATATGGAGCTCCACCTATGGCCCCTGTGGTAGGATCCACGTGCGGTTTCCCAGCCCTCTCACACGTTTCGTGTGCCACAGGGAGCTCCACCTACGGCCCTTGTGGTAGGATCCACGTGCGGTTTCCCAGCCCTCTCACACGTTTCGTGTGCCACAGGGAGCTCCACCAACGGCCCCAGTGGGAGTGTCCACGTGCGGTCACCCCGCTCACTTCGCCACCCCTCGCACGGTTTGTGCTTCCACCAGCGCATGTGGATTTTATATGCGCCCGCCCGCCAATCTCGGCACACCACTGGGCAAGTTCTCATTTGGTCTCCCCGCCCATTTCTGCACAATCCTCACGAGGATCGTGCCCCGCAGGGAACACCTTCAGCCGCAGTGGGCAAGGTCGCATGTGTCTCCCCCGCCCATTCGGCAGAGCCCTCAAGAGGGAAAGTGCTCCAGTAGGAAGCTCCACCTAAGAACCCAGTGGGCAAGTTCGCATGCGGTCCTCTGCCCCCGCAGGCGTACCCCTCAATCGGATCGTGCCCTACTGGGGACTCCATCGACCGCTCTAGTGGGCATCCGGCTAATTCGGCACACCCCTCTCACGTTTCGTGGCCTCATAGGGAGACCGTCGAAGGCCCCAGTGGCAAAGTCTGTGTGGCGCCCCCCCCGCAGTTTGACGCGCCCCTCCTACGTTTCGTGGCCCTACAGGGAGCAAGATGGCTCCCCCGCCATTTTTTCGGCGGCGGCGAGCGAGGGGGGGCAGTGAGAAGGAGGAGGCTTTCTCAGCAGGCTCGGAAACTCCCTGACCTTTGAGAGGTTTTCTAAGCCTTCCCCGACGACGCAGAAGTTTCGAAGAAGGCCAGATGGCATCGAGAAGCCCCGCCGCCCTCAGAGAAGGCCTTCTCCCTCTCGCTTCCTCCTCGCTCGCCGCCGACAGTTTGTGGCAGGCCCATCGCACGCCTCTCGCCTGCCTCGGCGCGCTTGCCCACAGTGGAGACCCATGCCAAGAGACCCTGCTTGCCTCCGGGGTGCCCTGGGTTCCTTGCGTTTCGATGGTCTTGCTGTGGAAGGCGTGACGTTCCCACACCAGAAAGCAATGGACATCCTGGTGTCTCAGGGTTGTGTTCCTTGTGGAAGGTTTCCTGTGGGCTGGCCTCCACTGTATCCACACCACTCTGTAGCGCGCAACGTCTGAAGCGAGGGCCACGCCCTGCGCAGCGCACGCGTCTGCACGGGCTTGGGCTCCTCGCCAGGCCACTCTCCGATGGCCTCGGAGCCCGACGCTGCCGCCCTTCCCGCCGCCAAAATCACAAACAGGGTCGCCCGTGGCGAAACTTGGCCTGGCGAGAGGCCCGACCCTGTGCAGCTTCGCGTAGCGCAGCGTGTGGCCCTCTTCTCGTGCACTGCGCGCCGCGGGAGGGATATATTCCCCAATCAGAGCTTGCCTCTGTATGGGTCCTAGCGGATTCATATGGTTAGGTGAGGTTTGTCACCGATGTCCGCGGCCCGCCCGGGTGCCCGGGTGCCCGGATGCCAGGGTGCCTTACAGCCCTATAACCCCATAGCACCATAGCCCTATAGCCTTATAGCCCTATAGCCCTATAGTCTTATAGCCCTATAGCCCCATAGCCCAATAGCCCAATAGCCCAATAGCCCGCAGCCCTATAGCCCTATAGCCCTAATAGCCCTATAGCTTTATAGCCCCATAGCCCTACAGCCTATAGCCCCATAGCTCTATATGCCTATAGCCGTATAGCCCCATAGCGCCATAGCCCTATAGCTCTATAGCTCAATAGCCTTATAGCCCTATAGCCCTATATCCCTATAGCCTTATAGTCCCATAGCTCTATAGACCTATAGCCCTATGACCCTACAACTGTATATGCCCATAGCCCCATAGCCCTACAGCCCTATAGCCCCATAGCTCTATATGCCTATAGCCGTATAGCCCCATTGCCCCATAGCCCTATAGCTCTATAGCCCAATAGCCCTATAGTCCCACATCCCTATAGGCCTAGAGCCCTATATCCCTATAGCCCTATAGCCCTATAACCCTATAGCCTTATAGTCCCATAGCTCTATAGACCTATAGCCCTATGACCCTACAACTGTATATGCCCACAGCCCCATAGCCCTATAGCCCCATAGCCCTATATCCCTAAAGCCCTAGCCCTATATCCCTATAGCCCTATAGCCCTATGGTCCTATAGCCCTATAGCCCCATATCCCTATGGACTCATAGCCCTATGGCCCTATAGTTCCATAGCCCTTTAGCCCCAAAGCCCCATCGCCCCATATCTCAATAGCCGCATAGCCTTATAGCCCTGAAAGACTTTGATTTGTTTTTCTTTGGTATCATATATATATATAGAGAGAGACAATTCGGGGGAGCTGGCAGATCGACAAAGTCAGCGCCGCCCCGCATGCGGGCTGGCCTGCCGTGCCCCAGTCCTCGCGTGGGGGTGCGCCGACACGGGCACCGCCCCGCATGCCAAAATGCCTGCTGGAGGCCACAGGTGGAGGTCGCTACGGAGCCACGGTTCTCTCGAGAGGGGGTTGCGCCGAAGCGGGCGCCGCCCCCGACGCGAACGAGCCCAGTGGGCACACTGATGCCGTACGGGGTGCGCCGAGAAGCAGCGCCGCCCTGCATGCGGGCGCAACCGCTGGGATCGTACAGGTGGAGCACTCCATGTGGCCACGATCCTTGTGAGAGGTCTGCCGAAATTCGGCGGCGAGCGAGGGGGTGAAGTGAGAAGGAGAAGGCCTTCTCAGAAGGTGGCGGGACTTCTCAGAAGTCCTCCGGCCTTCTGAGAAGTTTTCTGTGTCTTCGGGGAAGGCTTAGAAAACTTCTCAGAAGGCTAGGGGACTTTCGAGCCCTCTGAGAAGGCCTCCTTCTTCTCACTTCCCCCCTCGCTCGCCACCGAGAAATGGGAGGAGCAACCGCATTTAGGCGCATTCGTTGGGGCCGTAGGTTGAATTCCTTGTGGGACCAGGATCCTCGCGAGGGTTGTGCCGAAATGGGTCGGGATATCGCATGTGGACGCGCACACTGGCGCCGTGTGCGTAGCCCCCTGTGTGGCCGCGAACCGTGTGAGAGGTGTGCCTAGATGAACTTGCGGAGAGCGGAGGAAGGAGGAGGCAGGGGGAGGAGGGGGAGGAGGTGAGGTGGTGGAGCGCGGCACTGCGGATTCAAAGCAAAGACACAATTCCACACACGAGGGGTGAAACCTGTCTGGGAGGTCTGGCGAACGCCTGCTCGGGTGGTCCTCCTTCCTCCGCCTCCTCCTCCGTCTTACCCCTCTTCCCATTCTTCCTCTCACCTTCCTCCTCATCCTCTTCCTCCTCCTCCTCCTCCTCTTCCTTATCATTTGTTTCTCCTCTCTCGCCTCCTTCTCCTCCTTTTTTCCCCCTCCTCCGCCTCCTCCTCCTACTCCTCCCCCCCTCTCCTCCTCATCCCTCCCTCCCCTTCCCTCCTCCTCCTCCTCCTCCTCCTCCTCCTCCTCCTCCTCTCCTCCTCCTCCTCCTCCTCATCATCATCCTCTTCCTACTCTTTACTCTTCTTCCTCTTCGAGCAAGCACATCCCTCTCCTCCTCCTGGCTCCTGGGGTGGCTGGCCGACCGCGGGGCCGGAACGAGACCCCAGCGCTCGAGCTCACCACGGGCTTCGACGGGACTCGTTGCCGCCCCCGCCCCCGGGCGCTGGCGCCGATGGCGCCATCCTCGGGGAGGAGGGGGGGACAAGAGGAGGGAGGGCCAGAGTGAGGGATGTCGGGAGGGATTGCGGGACGGAGGTACGTAGGGATGGAGGGAGGGATGGAGGAAGCTCGAGGAGGAGGAAGGAAGAGGAGGAGTGAGGAGGAGGAGGAGGAGGGGGAGGAGTAGGAGGAGGAGGATGAGGAGGAGGATGCGTAGAGAGGAGCGATGAGGGAGAATAGTGGAGGACGGGGGGAGAAAGAGGGGGGGGGGAGGGAGAAAGGAAGCGGAGCAGGAGGATGAGGAGGAGCGAGGGCAGGAACATGATGAGGATGATACTGATGATGATGGTGGTGGTGGTGGTGATGACGATGCTGATGATGCTGCTGAGGATGAGGAGGATGATGAGGCGGAGGATGATGTTGATGATGATGTTGATTATGCTGAGGTTGATGCCGATGCTGCTGATGATGCTGCTGCTGATGATGATTATGATGATGATGATGGTGGTGGTGGTGATGATGATGCTGATTATGCTGATCATGATGATGATGAGGAGGAGGAGGACGAGGAGCAGAAGCAGGATAACAACAAGTGATGATGAGAAGAAGGAGGAGGATGAGGAAAAGGACGACGACTTAAATCTTGAGTGTGCGCCATTGATGCATCTGCAATCTGCTCGTGCGCCTTGTCGCCTCATTCAGTCCATGGTGCAGTCAATTCACCTTCTCATCCACCTTCTGATGCCATGGTTACTTTTGTAACTATTTGGGCCAATTGCACGTTGAAGCCCTGGAACTAGTGAGAGCTACTGTGCGCGTGCTGGGGAAAGAGCTCGAGCTCTCTCAGCAAAATTGCGAAGCTCGGTTACTGAAGCTGATCGAGTGACAGAATCTATAAATGAGCAGCCACTTCATCGAGACGCAGATGAATGACTGGCGAACGCAGAAAGATGGTCTGGATTTTAAGTTGTGCCGAGTACAAGGTCCAACCAGATACATGAGTGTGTCGTGTAGCCAAGTCCACTTGGACCCGTCTTGGAGTGGTCCTGGGACCTCTTGGAGTATGTTGGAAGCCATCTTGAACGATCTTGCGCTATCTTGAGCACTCTTGGAGGCCGTCAGTGCCATCTGGGGCCCCCTTGAAGCTGTATTGGGCTATCTTGGGCCCTCTGACTGGTCGCTGCTGCCCCCGTCCGTCCAGATCCAGGGGGAGGGGATAGGGGGAGGGGTCCAGTTCCCAACGGGAACGCCGCAAGCTGTCTCGCTCACTCCTAACCGCCCTTCCACTGCAGAACAGAAATAACACCCAAGTCTCGGCATACGCAGGGGCCGCCATCGACAATCCTCGGGAGAACTGCTGCACCAGCAAGGTGCGCGACGCCAGCGGTGTGCGCCACACATGCCAGGTGTGCCACGTGCACCAGGTGCGCCGCATTGGGCAATACGCCCACTATGCCCCAGGTTGCATCCAGAGAGGAGGATCGTGGAGGATCGTGGAGGAAAGGCCTCCTTGATGCGACCTGGGGCATTCTGGGGCATATTGGAGCCCCCCCCATCATCCCTGTCAAAAACCATTGTGAAGTGACGGCATGTGTGCTTGAATTCTGATGGGGTGGTGGGCCTGTGCGCAGCAGGTCACGTGCCGCCCCACTCCCGGCGGCCCTGGCCACGTTTGTGTAATGGTTTTTGTCTGTGAAAGGAATAGTGGGCCTGCACACAAGTAGGCAACATGCCCGCCCCCCCGCCGTCCCTTTCAACAAAAGCCAGTACAAAATTATCGCGCGGCGCCCGCGTATGATCCAGATTTTGGTGCGAAGTGCACTTTGTTATATATATATATATATATATATATATACACTTGTATATGTTGCAAGAGGTGATGGGGGGTGTTGGCGTTGCATACAGCAGGTAATATGCTGGCAACGCCGCCGCAACTGTCTAAACCATGCCAAGTGGTTGCGAGGCGTCAGCGCATGATCCAGCTTTCGGTACAATGTGTCGTGTTTGTCGTGCTTTTTTGGCAAGGGAGGGGTGTTGGGGGGGCGTTGTCGTCGCTGGCCAGAGTTCGTCGCCGGTCGGGTGGGGGAGGGGGTGTAAATCAAGAAGGAGCAGTGATCAACTCCCCGAAGGGCCAGAAGGGGGTTGGAAGACGAAGCGCCCTAAACCACCTCCGCCCTACAGATCTGGTGGGACTGATGCAAAGCGTTCGCAGAGTGCTGGTTCACCATCCAGATTTGCCGCCACGTGCACTTTGCATATGCTTTTGGCCAGGGAGGCGGGGGGAGGTTCTCCTGGTTCCTGTTTGGCGGCTCATCGAGTGGGGGGGAGGGGATGATTCTTTGTACGGAGCAGTGATAATAATCCCATTCCCCGAAGGGGAAACGGGGGCTGGAAAACCGAGCTCGTCAAATTATCTACGCCCTGAAGAGCTGGTGGGACTTCATTCCTCCTCTGCCTCGTCGCTGTCGTAGTCGCCGTCCCCGTCCTCCCGCTCCTCCTCCCCCTCCTCCCCCTCCTCCTCCTCCTCTTCCTCCTCCTCCTCCTCCTCGTCCTCCTCCGTCATGCTGCATCCTCCATCCCCCCCTCCCCGTCTTCGTCCTCCTACCCCCTCCTCGTCCTCCTCCCCTCCTCCTCCTCCTCCTCCTCCTCCTCCTCCTCCTCGTCTTCCCCTTCTTCCCTCCCTCCCTCCCCCCCCTCCCCCCTCTCCCCTCCCAGAAGCCTCCCAGGGCAGCCCAGGTGCTTCTCCACGGAAGCTTCGCCTGGGGCGGCACAGAAATTTCGCCCACCGCGGCAAGCGAGCCTTTCCCGGAGCCGCTCAGCAACCTGTGCCAGGGCGGCCCCAAAGCTTCGCACAAGGCGACCCAGAAGCAGCTCCTGGGGCGGCCGAGGAGCCTCTCCCAGGGCGGCCCAGAAGCCTCGCCCGGGGCTGCCCAGAGGTCTATCTGAATTCCCAGCAGAGGTGGATCCCGCCATGAAGCCTTAACGCACGCACCCCATGGCGGAATACGCCTTTCAACGGGACGCAACTATTCTTCCTCCTCCTCCTCCTCCTCCTCCTCTCTCCCACTCTCTCTGAGGGGCAAGGTCAGGGGGGATAGGCTCGGGGGGGGAATGCATCAACCCCCAATCGCACATTGATCGCCGATAAGGGCTTGATAGCCCACCCTGCCCATGAATTCGTGGATTTGCTATCGGGGGGCTATCGCTGATCTATCGGCGATGTATCTCCGATTCCAGTTCGATGTTCCGCCCCTGAGCCAGCACCCCCCTAGCATTGCGCTTCGCTCTCCTCCCTCATACACCCCCTCCTCCTCCTCCTCCTCATCCATCATTTTCCAAGAGAATAATTCCTCCCTGAGCCACCGCCAGACGTGTCGGTAGGGCGGGCCGGGCGTTTCGCCTGAGGCTTTCTTACCATTTATAGTGCTGAAGCTCAAAACATACAACAGTTTCAAGGATCGAGGGTGGGCCGTTTTCAAGATGTGGCTGTCGCCTTGACGCCGCGCGTGTTCGTTTTTACAAGTTCATCGCCGTTTCAAGGATGGAGGGCGGGCCGTTTTCAAAAAGTGACGCTCTCGCTTTATCACCGCGCGCATTCGTCAGAGTTTGAGGATAGAGGGCGGGCCGTTTTCAAAAGGTGGTTCTCGCCTAAGCGCCGCGCGCATTCGTCTCACAAGTTCGCCACAGTTTCAAGGATGGAGGGCGGGTGGTCGTCAAAATGTGGCTCTCGCTTTCAGCCGTGCGCGCTCGTCTCAGAAATCTACAGCAGTTTCTAGGAGTCACATTGTTGAAGTCCCAGGATTCTTGTTCTGGCGCGATTCAGGATTGTCAGGACGCAACAGTCACGTTGATTCGCGGTGCTCAAGCCCCAGAAAGTGCGTTCTGGCATGATTCTGAATTGTCAGGAAGCAAAGGTCACGTTGATTCGCGGCGTTGAAGTCTCAGGAACGGTTGTATGTCAGAATGGAGGATTCTCAAACGATTGTCTTCCAATGGGGCACTTCCCGCAATGGAAAAATTTAGGGACCTATGAAGAGCGAACTTTTAGGTAGTTTATTGCAACATCGTTGATGCGCTTTGGGTTTACACTGGTCCTTCTCCTCCTCCTCCTCCTCTTCCTCCTCCTCCTCCGTTGGTGTTCCTCCAGACAGGGACCTCCAGGCAAACCGCATGCAGGGCGAGCCGGCCTCCCCTGAATGCGGTGACCAGCCACCTTGAAGGCTGCGTAAGCCGACGACATCCCCCTCCTCCTGGTCCTCCTCCTGGTCCTCCTCCTGGTCCTCGTCCTCCTCCTGGTTCTTTTCTTCCTCCTGGTCCTCGCCATCCCTTCCTTCCCTCCCTTCCCCCCCTCCCCTCCCGTCCCCTCCCCTCCCCTCCTGGTTCTCTCCATCCCTCTCCTCCCCTCCCGTCCCCCCCCTTCCCTTCCCCCGTCCCTCTCTCCCTCTCCCACCCTCCCACCCTCCGTCGCTCCCTTCTCGTCCCTTCCCCGTCCAGGATGCTGCTTGCGCTCTCCAGCTGCGAGCGCGTGGACGCGTTCGAGATGACGCCGTCGGACGTGGCGTCCAGGCGTGACGCGTCCCCCTCCCCACTCCTAGCGGGAGCGGCCGTCGTCGTCGTCGTCGTCGTCGTCGTCGTCGTCGTCGTCGTCGTCGTCGTCATCGGCATCGTTGGGGTGGAGCTGGCAGATGATGATGATGATGATGATGATGATGATGATGATGATGATGATGATGATGATGATGATGATGATGATGATGATGATGCTGATGATGCTGATGATGCTGATGATGCTGCTCCTGTTGCAGATAATGATGGTGATGTTGACGACGATGATGATGACATTGATGATGAGGAGGATGAAGAGGAGGATGAGGATGGCTGCGACGTCGAGGATGATGCTGCTGCTGATGCTGGTGGCGACGCTGATGCTGCTGCTGATCATGATGATGGCGATAATGATGCTGATGATGCTAATGATGATGATGATGATGATGATGATGATGATGATGATGATGATGATGATGATGATGATGATGATGATGATGATGATGGTGATGGTGATGATGATGATGATGATGATGATAATGATGATGGTGATGATGATGATGATATGATGATGATGATGATGATGATGGTGATGGTGGTGATGGTGATGGTGATGGTGATGGTGATGGTCATGGTGATGGTGATGATGGTGATGGTGGTGGTGATGATGGTGGTGGTGGTGGTGGGTGATGGTGGTGGTGGTGGATGAGGGTTGTGGTGATGATAGTAGTGGTGGTGGTGGTGGTGATGATGATGATGATGATGATGATGATGATGATGATGATGATGATGATGGTGGTTGTTGTGGTGACGACGACGACTACGATGATGATGACGATGATGACGATGATGACGATGGTGATGATGGTGGTGGTGGTGGTGGTGGATGGTGGTGGTGGTGGATGATGATTGTGGAGATGAAAGTATGGTGGTGGCGGTGGTGATGATGGTGGTGGTGGTGATGATAACGACGACGATGATGATGATAACGATGATGACGACGAGGAGGAGGAAGAGGAGGAGGATAATTGTTGTGGTGGTGGTGGATGTTGCTGGTGCTGATGTTGGAGAAGAAGATGAGATGATGATGATGATGGTGATGATGACGACGATGATGATGACATTGATGTTGATGATGATGATGCTGATTCTGATGATTGTGATGATGCTGGTGATGATGATGATGACGATGATGATGATGATGATGATGATGATGATGATGATGATGATGATCATGATGATGATGATGATGATGATGATGATGATGATGATGATGATGATGCTGATGATGATGATGCTGATGCTGATGATGATGATGATGATGATGATGATGATGATGATGATGATGAGATGATGATTGATGATGATGATGATGACAAAGAGCGTGATGCCGCTGCTGGCGGAAAACCGGGGGGGGGGTCACTGGGGGTTCCCAACCCGTCCACCCCCCCTCCCTCGAAAACGAGGGGGGGTCACTACCGGTTCGAACCCCTCCCCCCCCAGTCCATCATGAAAAGGGGGGGGGTCACTACGGGTTCGACCCCCCCCCCCCTCCCCTCGAAAACCGGGGGGGGTCATTACCCGGCAAACGATTCCCGCTCCTCGGGACAGTTGGACAATGGTGGGGATGCTGGGACAGTGGTGGGAACGGTGGTGGTGGGGACAGTGGTGCGGGGACAGTGGGACAGTGGTGCGGACTGGTGGGGACGTTGGTGGTGGGGACAGTGGTGAGGGGACAGCGGGACAGTGGTGAGGACAGTGGGACAGTGGTGGGGACGGTAGTGGTGGGGACAGTGGTGAAGGCGGTGGTGAGGACAGCGGTGGGACAGTAGTACAGTGGGGAAAGTGGTGGGGACAGTGGGACAGTGATGGGGACAGTGGGGACGGTGGGACAGCACAGTGGGACAGCGGCGGGGGCAGTGGGACAATGGTGGGTACAGTGGGGACAGTGGAACAGTGGTGGGACCGTGGGGAAAGTGGGGAGAGCGGGACCGTGGTGGGACAATGGTGGGGAGAGTAGGGAGAGTGAGACACTGGTGGGGGCACTGGTGGGGACAGCGAGGACAATGGTGGGAACAGTGGGGACAGTGGGACAGTGGTGGGGACAGTGGTGGTGGGGACAGTGGTGTGGGGACAGTGAGAATGTGGTGGAAACAGTGGGACAGTGGAGGGTACAGTGGTGGTGGGGACTGGTGAGGGCGGTGGCGAGGACGGCGGTGGGACCATGGGACGGAGGTACAGTGGGGACAGTGGTGGGGACAGTGGTGGGGACAGTGGGGACAGTGGTGGGAACAGTGGGACAGCTCAGTTGGACAGCGGCGGGGACAGTGGGACAGTGGGACAGTGGGGACAGTGGGACAGTGGTTGGGGCCGTGGAGAAAGTGGGGAGAGTGGAACCGTGGTGGCAACAGTGGTGGGGACAGTGGGGACAGTGCGACAGTGGTGGGGGCACTGGTGGGGACAGTGGGGACGGTGGTGGGCACAGTGGGGACAGTGGTGGTGAGGACAGTGGTGCTGGGGACAGCAGTGGGGGATGTGGTACGGACGGTGGTATGGACCTGGGAGTCGTTTGCTGGCGGTGAGCATGGGGGGAGGAAGGGGAGGGGTTCGAACTGGGTAGTGACCCCCCCCCCCCCCCCTGTTTCTTGATGGGGGGGGGGAGGGGGTTCGAATCGGTAGTGACCCCCCCCGATTTTCTGGAGGGGGGGGGGGGGAGGGGTTCGAGCCGGTAGTGACCCCCCTCCCTCTGGTTTTCTGGGGGGGGAGGGGTTCGAACCGTAGCGACCCCCCCCCGGTTTTCCTGAGGGGGGGAGGGTAGGGGAGGGGGGGGGTTTTGCCGGGGGGAAGGGGGGGGGTGTTCCAGCAGGGTGATTTTCGGAGGGGGGGGGGGACACCCGGGTTCTGGAGGAAGAGGGGGGGATAATTTTCCATAGTAAAGCGGCGGTGGATCACGCTCTTTCCAACATGATGATGACGATGACGATGCTGATTGTGATGATGATGGTGATGGTGATGGTGATGGTGATGTGTGATGGATGGTGATGGTGATGATGATGATGATGATGATGATCATGATGATGATGATGATGATGAATGATGATGATGATGTGATGATGATTGATGATGATGGTGATGGTGATGGTGATGGTGTGGTGTGAATGTGGTGATGGTGATGGGAGGGATGGTGAGATGAGACGGACGAGGGGGAAGTAGAGGAGGAGAGAGGAGCAGGAGGAGGAGGAGAGGAGGGAGGAGGAGGAGGAGGGAGGGGGAGGAGGAGGAGGGGAGGAGGAGGAGGGGGAGGAGGAGGGAGGAGGAGGAGGAGGAGGAGGGAGGAGGAGGAGGGTGAGGAGGAGGAGGTAGGAGGAGGGGAGGATGGGGGTTGAAGGGGCCGTGCCGTTGCGAAAGCTCTCGCTCCCAGGTGCGGCGGTTACGCGTACGACGACGAGGACGCCATGTACCCGGGACAGGCCGACGTGAACTTCTGGCACGGCTACTTCAACGCCGAGCACGACCTCTGGGCCAGGCTCTCGGTGGATGTCGGCCTCCGCCGGAAGCTTGGGAAGGTCGTGCTGCCTGGGTTCTCCGTGGTGCGCTGCGAGGGTGCGCTGCCCGCGCTGAGCTCCGTCGAGCGCGACCTGGTGGCGCCCGTCTGCGAGCGCGACCCGTCGCGGTGCCCCCCGCCGCGCAGGCTCGTCCGCGGCAGCGCCGGAGACCCCGGCGCGCCGCGCGCGGCGGCGTGGCTACTCCTCTTGGCGGGCGGATGGCGGTACAGCGCAAATTCCTCTCCGCTATCGGGGGCGCCCGTCGAGTGAACAAATACGATGACCATGGTCAAGACTCGAAAAGAACAATCGGCATAAACATGAACTTTTGACGCTCCGCGCGGATTTCTTGGATCTGCGCTGGACCCCCCTCCCTGGTGCGCGAAGCGCGCCAGGATCGGCGCCAGAGGCGCCGCCAGCGCGCTCCAGCGCAGATCCAAGAAATCTGCGCGGAGCCCCAAAAGTTTATGCTTATGCCGTTTATCATTCTTCTAGATGACCATGGCCAAGATGTCGCGGGATCTTATCGACGCAGGTCGTGGTCATGGTGTCATGATTCTTGCTGGCCGTCGCCGATTCGCGAGGAATGACCCAGAGGGGCCGTGACCAAGATCGTCACCGACGTTTCTGCGTTCAGTCTTGGTCACGGTCATCGCTGTTTTTTCCTCCAGGGACGCCTGTTCCATGACGGCAGGGAAGCTTGTGCCCCGACGTGCCACCGCAGAGGTGCATGAGATCTCTCCAGCCGTCCTGGGACTGGCGCCCCAGATGGCGGGGAAGCTTGTGCTACACGGTACGGTTCGTGCGTGTCAGCGCGGTTGCGATCCGAGCGCGGGCGTTCAAGGTTGAACGCCGCGGGTGGCCCGGAATTGGCCAGGAGGGAAAGACCTGGCGATCGAGAACCCTCCGGTCTTTCAAGGTTGGACGATCCGTGCGGTGTCAGAGACCAACGACAGGGTCGTCACGACGCGAACCTGCCGTATTTCGGCGACGCGCCCGGGGGGGAAAGGCAGGGGGTGGGGCGGGCTTTCTCAGAAGGCTCGGAAGGTCTCCAGCCTTCTGAGAAGGTTTCTGAGCCTTCTCCGAAGCCGCAGGGGGCTTTCAGAAGGCCGGAGGGCTTCCGCCAAGCCCCGCCGTCTTCTGTGATGGCCTGCCCTCTTTTACCCTCCCCCTTGGCTCGCCACCGAGTACTGTAGGTTCGCGTCGTCTCGACCGGCGGCGACCCCGCCGCCGGCGTTCGACGTGGAACGTCGCCTGCGACTCAGAATCGCTCGATATTGAACGATCTGACGTTTCGGAAACGGTCGATCGTCCAAGGTGGAACGATCCCCGCGGTGCCAGAAGCCAGCGCCGAAGTCGGCACGACACGGACCTGCTGTAGATGGGGTCGAAGGATCGCGCCGCATCGCCGATGCGTCGGCCATGCTCGATGTGGAGCCCGATCTTCTCCACGCCGACGTCGCCGATGCATCACAAGCGTCGCCGATGCATCGACGATGCGTCAGCGATGTATCGGCGATGCGTTGGCGATGCCTCGGCGATGCGGCCGGACCGCCGCACTGCTCTTCGTCCGCCGAGATCCTCCCCGTGCTGTCCCTGGGTGTGCTCCCGCCGCTGTGGCTGTGGCGTTTGCGGCCAGCGGCCGCGGGCAGCCCGAGGGTTGGAGCCGATCTCGCCCCGATGCTGGCTGCCCCGGTGTGCCAGCCGGGCTGAGCCACCAGCGGGCGGGGCGCGGGCGGCCTCGTGCTTGGTTCGGGACGATCGAGATCGGTACGGAAAAGGATTGCGTACGGAGACCGACAGGACTCGCTGTCGGTGTCGCCGCGGGCGTTGTCTGCTTGAGACAGAAACTCGCCTGCCCAACAACGGTCGTTGTCGGTTCTGGACAAAGTTTGTTGTTAAGTAGGCATCGTACCCATCTTTTCCGTACCCATTTCGGGCGTCCAAATCTGCGGCGAACATATCCGTATCCGCGCCTTCGCGGTTTGGACTCCTGGGCGCGATCTCGCGGATGCGCGGTTCGGTTGATGGACAATTTGTTTCACATGTTGTTGTGATTTTTGTGACCCCCCCCCCGCGCGCCCAATTTCATGTTGGCAGTCTGCGACGCGATGTGTCGATCTAAATCTTGCACCCCGCTGGAGATACCAACCAACATTGAATTGGGGGCCGGCGGGGCGCGTTAACATTCGCGCCGCAAAACTGGTCACGCGAGCGGTGCAGGATTTTGTCCATCTGCCGTCGCACGGATACGCTCCGCGCGGGGCGTCCGCGAAAAAAACGCCCCGTCGCGGCCAAGGGGCCCGTCTCGCAAGGTCGCGGATACGGACATGTTTTCACCCACGGTCCACCCCGCCCCCCCCTCACCTCGAAGGAGACAGAATTGCACCGAGGTTCGGATTTCTTGGATTTGCGCTGGACCCCCCCCCGGCGGCGCCCCCGGCACCGCACTTGGCGCGCTCCGCGCGCCAGGGAGAAGGTTCCACCAGCGCAGACGTCAGAAGTCAGCGCGGACCGCCAACAGTGCCCCCCCGCCCCCCCTCGCTTCCCCCCTCGCTTCTCCCTTCTATGCCCCCCTCGCTTCCCCCCCCCCCCCCCGACTTTTCTCGGAGGGTGAAACCACGGGCGCCGTCATCGTCTCGGGGGTGGGGGGGGTGCATCGACCCTCAAATCGCCCCTTGATCGCCGATGGGAGCCCGACAGCCCGGCTTGTCCAGGACCGTGCGGATTCCCCGTCGAGGGCCCGCCGCCGACCCAGCGGCGACGTATCGCCGATGTCGCGTCGATGCCCCCTCCTCCCTCCCCCCTGGGCCAGTCCCCCCCGTGGCGGCTGCGAGTCTTGCGGGCCTGCGCCCGCTGGGTCCGGCCCTGGGCTGTTTTCACTAGACTTCAGCCAGGCACGTCCCTCTACAGGAGGAATATTCAAAAATGGTACAAGAATAGTCAGGGGACGACTTTTCGATTATTTTTTGACTCTGTGTGCATATTTTTTGCATTTTTAAAACAATTTTTTCCTCCAAGATCCGCCTGTAGGGGGACATGCCCGACCTAACACTAGAGGGTGCTCTGCTGAAGGGGGCTCTGTCCACGCGCGTCCGCGTCGCGCAGGGGCCGCGACGGGAGGCTGCTGCTCCTGGGGGGGGGGGCCACCGTGCCCCTTGGGGCCTTCGGAGAACGGCTCAGGATCGGAAGCATGTCCCCGAGGAGGGGTCCCTCAGGAGGGCCAACAGAAAAGACACACCGACACAAAGACTCGTCGATTCTACAGGCTTACGCCACATCCGCCGACCCCTTGTTTTTACTACCCTGGCGGTTGGGAGCATTTCGGGCGCCACCTCTTACCTGAGTTCAAGGCTTTGATGGTGCTTTTCGGTGCTGGAGGCCGGCCTGCTCGGAGAAAGAGGAGGTGTAGGAGGAGCAGGATCTGGAGGAGGTGGTGGAGGAGTAGGAGCGCGCGAGATGTTTCATGGAAGTCGGAGATTGTCGATCATCAGAGACTCTTCAGCAATGGCGGCCCCGGCAGCGATGGGGCCATCTTTGGGGGACATTTTGGAGACTTTGCGCGCCGTCTTCGAGCAAAGTTGTTTGCGCGGATTGCGTGGGCCTCGGGTTCACGGCACGGAGTTGGCAAGCGTACGAGTGCTTCGGCGCCTGCAAGAGGAAACTCCCCAAATCGCAGTTCACCGACACAAAGACTCGTCGATTCCCAGGAAGATCTAAGAAATTACGGCGAGTGGGGGGAAAGACGAACATCCCCAAGACATGGGACTCCTGGGATTTGTGTATAGGTATTTCCCCATATCCTAAGATGGGGTTCTTGTTATTACTTGGGCGCCTCCTCCTCCTTCTCCTTCCTCTTTTCGTCCCCTCCTCTTAACGTCTCCTCATACGAGACTTACTCATGTCCAGACTCACTCACGCACAAACTTACTCAGACTGAGACCTACTCATACTCAGACTTACTCACACCCAGTCGTACACATACACAAACTTACTCATACACAGACTACTCATACTCAGACCCAGACGTACATACACAAACTTTCTCATACACAGACTTAATCATATTCAGACCCAGAAGTACACATACACAGACTCACTCATACACAGACTCATATTCAGACTCATACCCATATGTACACATACACAGACTCACTCATACACAGACGTACTCATACTCAGACTTACCCACACTCAGACTTACTCGTACCCATACGTACTCATACACATACATGCTCATACTCAGACCTTCTCATAGTCTGACTCATTCAACACGCGTCAGGCGGGTCTCAGGCGGGGCGCTGATTTCAGCACCCCGAAGAGGCGCCGCCAGGGGTCTTTGCACGTGCCCGTTCGTGGCCAGTTTGTGGGGATTTCTGGGGCGGTTTGCTTGTTTTCGCGGCCAGTTTGTGTGGATGTCTCAGGCGGTTTGCTCGTTTTCATGCCCAACATCCTTGGCTGTCAGAGCAGATTTTGAGGATGTTTCAGGCGGGTCGCTGGTTTCATCACCCCTAAGGGGAACCGCCAGGGGTGTTTGCACGGGCCCGTTCGTGGCCAGTTTCTGGGGATGTCTCAGGCGGTTTGCTCTTTTTCATGCCCAACATTTGTGGCTTTCAGAGCAGATTTTGAGGATGTCTCTGGCGGGGCGCTGGTTTCAGCACCCCTAAGGGGAGCTTCCAGGGGTGTTTGCACGGGCCCGTTCGCGGCCAGTTTGTGGGGATGTTTCAGGCGGTTTGCTCGTTTTCATATCCAACATTCTTGGCTTTCGGAGCAGATTTTGAGGATGTTTCTGGCGGGGCGCTGGTTTCAGCATCCCTACGGGGAGCCGCCAGAGGGGTAGGACACGGGCCCGTTCGCGGCCAGTTTGTGGGGATGTCTCAGGCGGTTTGCTCGTTTTCATGCCCAACATCCTTGGCTTTCAGAGCAGATTTTGAAGATGTTTCTGGCGGGGCGCTGGTTTCAGCATCCCTACGGGGAGCCGCCAGGGGGTAGGACACGGGCCCGTTCGCGGCCAGTTTGTGTGGATATTTGAGGCGCTTTGTTTGTTTTCGTGGTGCGAGGAAGGAGTCGAGGCGTGCTGGTCCCTTGGGTCGTGCTCCGGCACGTACCCTCTTGGGACGCGCGGAGGAAGGAGTCGAGGCGTGCTGGTCCCGTGGGTCGTGCTCCAGCACGTTCAGACGCTCGTTTTACAGATCCCACTGCCAAGTATCCTAAAACGTATGCACATTACCACATGCTGAGGAGGGCACGGCCTGGCAGCTGAGGCGGGGGAATGAATATGAGGCTCATATTCAATCATATTCAACGCTTACTCTGACTCATACTCATTCACTCGCATTCGGATTCACTCGTCTTCGTCGGCCCTGTCGCCCATGTGGACGCTGTATCATAGTCAAGCGCTCATCAACAGACGCTCGCTATGGCATGACATAAAACATGATGCACTTTTGGGGAGCTCCACGCAGTGAGTAATTGTGTTTCCCTGGCCCCTTCAGTCCAGAGTCCTGGGGAGCCACGCCTGGGAAAATCACGACGTCAGACGTTTGGCACTCCCTCTGGGCTCCCGCTCTTTCCCTCTCGTCTCTCTCGGGCGCGCCCGGGGTGACCACACCGTGTAGTGAGCCAGGGGGGATTCGGGCTGACCGCACAATTTCGGGATTCGGGTCGTTCTCCCAGGATGTCTCGGGCGACTAGGGCTTCCAGGGTACCAATCCGTGCGGTGACGGACCTTGCAATAGGGTCTCTTGGGATTTCGAGGTCACCGCACGGTTTGCCACCACACCCTTTTGGGACCCCCATCGATCCTCCGATCTCTCCTCCCTGCTCCCCCCCCCGCCTCTTCAATTTTCCCGCCCGATCGCGGCGGCGCGTAGTGTTAGGCCTGGCCAACCCTGCAGCGCGGGGACGGCCCGAACAGACTCTGGCAATGCTGTCTGGACAGACTCTGGCAAGGCTGTCCGGCGAAGAGCGTGGGGGAGGTCGCGTGGCAGAGGCCATCGCTGGTTGGCGGCGCGCGCGGCGGGGTGGGGCGAGGGGCCGAGGGGGGTGGGGCTGGCCATCTCAGAAGTCGGGGTGCCTCTTGAGCGGACGGTCTGGGTGTGAGGCTTCGAAGAAGGCCTCTCGGAGGGCAGGATGGCTTCTGAGAAGCCCTTTGGCCACCGCTGCCTGCGCGCGTGCCCCGGGCGCGTCAGGCAGTGGTGGATTCGTTGACATCCGCCCTCTCCCCTGGGCCGTGGACGTGGTCTGCGACCAATTGTGAGCCCCACCCCTGCGGGTTCAATCGACGCTGGGGTATTGGACGCACTCTGCTTGGGGCCACTTGGCTGCAATTATCCTTCGAATCCTGAACCCCAGCTGGCGTTCCAGATATCGGACCTGCGGGAGCAGGGTTCACATGCCAGCGACGCCCAGAAACGGGGCCGTCGGCGCCGACATGGGCGCGTAAGCTGCCCGCGTAAGCTCCCGCGTGAGCGCCCCCGTTCCAGATCTGGCGCGCCGTGCCGGCGGCCCGCGTACGCGGCTGCGCAAGGTCGCTATGCCATCTCGCGTTAGGCCCGTCTTTGATCGTCGCTCGGCTGGCGTTCCAGATGCCCGACCTGCACGGGCAGGGTTCACATGTGGCTGCCCACGTGGATGCCTCCTGTGAGCGCAGGGCGCACCGGGAAGCGTCGGGTGTTGCCAGAGATGGCCGCAGCCCCGCCAGAGTGCCTGGGCCAGGGGTCACGAGCTGTGGGCATACCGAGCCAGGAACACCTCTGGCAACCTTCGCGGGCGGAGAGGCGAGGGCCGGTCGGCGGCGAGCCCAGGGGGGCCAGGGCGAGGGGTGCGGTCCTCCAAGAGTGCAGGGGGGCTTCCTTCGAAGCAGGGGTCGACCTGAGCGGTGCTTCGGCGATTTCGCGGATTGTTTTCGTGCCGATTTCGTGTAGGTCGAGTCGAGTCCTGCAGGGGTCCAGGGCGAGGGGTGCGGTCTTCAAGAGCGCAGGGGGCTTCTTCGAAGGGGCCGCACCCTCTTGGAAAGCAGGGGGGTTTGTTAGACACTGTGCGCCCCACGCCCTGTGAGAAGGGCGGGGGCCCCCCTGACCCTACAGTATTTGGCGCGCCGCCAAAAGGGTGGGCGGGGGGCCCTCAGACCCAGGCGTCGTGAAGAATGCATGACGGGCGCTGTTGCACCATCTCGTGCCCCAGGACCCTTGCGGATCGATTAGAGTCGAGGAATTTGGCAGGAAGATGGGATTGAGAGCTCTGGTCGCGACTTTTCATGACGCTGGACAGGAGGCGGTGGGCGTGAAGGGACGATGATGATGATGATGATGATGATGATGATGATGATGATGATGATGATGATGATGATGATGATGATGATGATGATGATGA